AATATGTGTAATCTCTATTATTGATCTAGCTCGTTTCTTTGGCCAAAGATTTTTGAGTCGCATATTCTAAGCATTCTCCTTCTTTACTGAAGGTAGAAATCCCTTGTAATACACTCACATGTCTCCATGAATTGATCATGAACCCTAGTCATATTTTTGGGTTATGCCCAGAGGAACACAATGCTTCAACATGGCTAAGGGCCCACGATACTTCCATGAGACAACTCGTGGTGCCTCAGGTCAATGACTAATTTGCACTATTCCAACTTGAGAGATCATGATTGACATGTAAGTAGAACTTCCATTCAAGTTCTCTCTGTTGATCATGTTTAGTGAATTCATTCACTATTGAACACCCATACACTTATCTTAGTGTCTCCATACGAACAACTCGAGACCGGTTATCCTCCTGATTGAGCAGATACATCGCATGATAGCCCTTGTGGATTATCAATGCCCAGTTGATTATCTTATGACCACAAACCATTTAGGATATGGATATGGTACAGAAAGGTTTCCTGAACTTAACTTCTTTAAGTCACTTTCTATGTCTCACGATCCACGGCCTTGTTGGTTAAGTAAATTACTAAGATTATTACTCAAAACAACATAATGCCCTTAATTAATTAGGTGAAATATCATTAGAGTTTACATTTCATGATTGGCTCTATGGCGTACTTCTAACAGACCCAAACTTCCTTCCATCCACCCTTCTCTATTCGAGTCCTTATACCACACCTGCAACGTCGACGATTGCTTCCATCGCACTCCAAATTTGAAACCCATCCTCCCTTCCCCATCCCCTTTCTCTCTCACACATATATTAGAGATGGGAAACCTCAAAAGCTAGTACAGAGAATTCTCCTTAGCAGCTTCAAGACAATTAAGCCAACCTGATCCAAATATGACCCATACCCAACAAAACAACCCTAGATTCAGTTATGGGTTGTGCGTATAAAGACGAGAAGAGAGAGAGAGGAAGAAACGGGGAGAGAGGGTTCGCAGAGGGGGGGCTGGGGGACTGATTTGGTTCTGGGTTCACCCCCGGGGGAGAGGGGGGGAGGGATGTTCGAACTTTCATGACTCTTGTAAAAAATGCTCTCATAGTATGTTAGGCAACCACCGGCTTCAAAAGCTTAAACTGTTCTGGCATACATCAATATGCATAACATCCAAAGTGAATTTAAGGGATTATGGCGTTAAAGATTAAAATAAAATAAAATTAGAGAGTGAGAGAGAACAATTTGTACTATGAAACCATAGATATTGACATGACTTTGTCGATATCTATGGTTTTATTAGGGTAACCCTGAACTTTCAAAAGTTCAATCCCCTTTATTAGGGTAACCCCAAAGCACGCATATGTAGTAACATGATTTTTATTAGGGTAACCCCAAAGCACTGTCATGACATCCTGCTTAAGTTCGAAGTATATAGTTTTGTCCCTTTGGAGGCAAAGTTTGAGAGCATTGTTCTAAAAAAATTTGGGTGCTTTCCTTCTCAGCATGCTTTTTGAAGAAGTTAGAAAGCTAAAACATCCGGGGTGAGGCAATTAACACATTAATTTGAGTGGAGAATAAAACCTGGCTGCATTTCTCAACACTGACTTTACCAATAAGTAACTTGTATTTTTTCGTGTTGGCATGACCTCTTTCGTAGGTTTACAAATCATATTGAACAAACAAGGAAAAAAAAAAAAGAAACTACATCCATGCGTCAACAAGAAACTCATAGAATACATTACTTCTGACAAAGAGAGCACAACTATGAAAACAGATTATGCCTTTGCTTTTCCAGCCTGGAGAGATTGAGCCCTCTGTTGTAATTTTAACATCTGCAAGACAACATATCCAATGGAAGCAATTAATATTGAAATATATGTCTACATTGGTTAAGAATGGTGTTAACTTGTAGTTATGACCCTTTGCAGAGTACAACCTAGTCAACTTCAAAACGAGGAGGTGAAAGGAGAGGCACAAAACCAATGCAACAATTTAATTGTACACTTTCTGAAATTAATTCTTCTAATACCATAGATATATTACCACAACCCAATCAAAGTCAAAAGTTCGTACGAATGGCTATGGCATTATACGAGAGCATTTAAGATACACAGAAACAAGGAAGAATACAAACCATTTCTTTCTTGCTATTTTGCTTCTCTTCCAAATCTTGAAGAGTAGCATCAAGCCGCTTCCTATTGCACAGAATGAATACCAGTTTCAGTGTCTAACATATGCCAGACAAGTTTCGTATGAATATGATTATGATGATCAAGAAAAAGATAGGAAAAAAAATTGAGAAATTTATGGTCTACAAAAGCATATAACTGGTATGAGATCCATCTAGCAATTCCCGCGAAAAAGGTTTCTCAAGATAAGCTTATGCACAGAATACACAGCTTCAGAGAAAGACACCAAAACCTGGTTATAATTGAACTCAATACCCAATTTATTCATCCCTCTCCACTTTTTTGGAATTTAACCAAACAGTCCCATTTCTTTAGATATTTATTTCTTAGGCCCACAATCACATATATGAAGGTAATAGGCATATGAATACATTGAACATCCTCTTATGAAATAATGGACATCCTTCACTGCAAATGTGAACATAACTCATTCCAGTGAACAGAGACCCCTACACATCATTTTGTGAAAACTCAGTACTAGTACGTCTTGCTTTATAATAAGCAATTCAACATCCATAAAATTGATAGCTATCAGCTACAATTACAAAAACTTTGTTCTAAAGATTTGGTTCTTGAGAAGGCAGAGCTGCATTTTGCTTTATGCTATTGCACTCTTGGTCCTTCCCCATTCGGTGGGGAGAAATTTACCCTCAAAGAAGCTCGTTGATGGTTTGGCCCTTATACAACATATCATAAATCGTATATATTTGATATGGAAACTGTGTACCATATGCAGTTTCAGAAAAGAAAAGGCTTTAGTTAGATTCGTTACGTTCCATTTAAAAATTTCACTTTCCAGCATTAAGATCAATGATCAAGGGCTATCATTTAACATAGATTAGTTATAACTTTAAATTTACCAAAAATTTATTAAATTGGTTTGACCAAACCAATTTCAACACTCGATCTAAACTCTCACTTTTCTCACAAAATTCTGAAATTGTTCACACGAAAAAATACAAGAGTTACTTATTGATAAAGTCAGTGTTGAGAAATGCAGCCGGGTTTATTCTCCATTCGGGTCGTTTTCATCAAATAGATGCTAAACTAACAACAATAATCCATAAAGTTAAAATTTGAAATGATAAACTAAACTAGTGCAAATATTGCAAGTGCAGAGTACAAACCATAATATTATGTATATACATATATAATAAACAAATGAAACAGAAACATACAGTTCAGCAGAGATGTATTCGATTCTCTTGCGCACATTGGCCCTAGCCTCTGCTAAATCCTGCTTCACAAGAACCGGACCGATCAATTTGAAAACATTGGCGTCTTCGCTCAGGAGATCCAATTCCTACAAACAGAAGCAATCATATTAGTATTCAATCCAATAGTAAATCACTAACCAATAACCATGAGATTATAAACACTACAACAAAGCCCACTAGCTTCCAACTAAATGAAAATTTTGCAAATACATCAGATATCAGGTAATCACTTTAGCAGAAAATCACTTCAAGTATTCTGAAAAAAGAAAAAGCTATTTAAATGAAATTTAGCGTCTCAGCTTATGTAAAAATCATAACAAGAGCTGACTTCGTTTTCCCGGTAACCAAACAGAAAATAGAGAAAGCACAATCAAGACAGAAGGTGACCTTGAGAACGAGCTCGTTCTCGCCCAGCTGAATAGTGAACTTCTTTCTCACTTGGTGATTCTTCGAAATATCTGAAAGAGCGAATGCCATGTTAGGGTTTTACATATTAAGTATAAGTGTGAATGCATACAGCTACGACTTGCCTTTCTGGATTTTGCTGAGATCGTTAGCTTTGGCCTCCAATTCGCGCTGAAGCTCTCGAAGACCTGACGACGACGCCATTGTTTTTGCTGCTGTTGTTACATATATTCCTTTGTCTTCTGATCAGTAGCAGCTTAGGTCTTTCTCTCTCCCTTTTCTTCGGTTTCTTTGTTGCAGATCCAATTCAGTATGCTTTTGGGTGTGGAGTTCTGTTGGGCCTTCATTCAATCCTGTAAGATTTAGGTCCAGATCTTGGGCTTGCGTTCTTTAAAATTCTCTCTGACCCATGTAGCCGTGAAAGCAATCAGAACCCTTTTCTTATCTTATATTTAAGATCTAAAAACAACATATAATAGGTTGTGTTGGCTAAATCATCTAGCCAAAAATGCAAACAAAGATTGAAAGTTGCAGAGAATAAATCGTTCAATAAAAATAAATGAAAATGAAAACACAGATAGGAAGTAACACTTTTGAAGATTTGGGCTCATTTGGGACTGTTTCTCTAGGAAGTACTTCTTCTCATAAGCGCTTCTAACAAAAGCGCTTTTATTATAAAAATATTGAATTTTCATACAAAATTAAAATGCTTCGTGGAAAAGCACGTGGGAGTGCTTCCTGAAGAAGCACATAACATGTGCTTCTCCAGGAAGCGCTTCTATGACCCAGAAGTATTTCTAAACTTTTCTATCAAATGAATCGCTTTTAATTATCAGAAATCGCTTTTGATTCTTCCAGAAGCACTCTCAAACATGCCCTAAGAAAAGAGTAAGCATTCACCTTTGGTAGAGAGAGTTCTAAACACCCCATAAACATCCTGGAAGAGGCGGAGACATTATGTGTTATTTATTTATTTTTTAAAATATAACATGAACAAATATAGGATGTAAGCTCCATGTCACCTCTTGTAAGTTTTTATCCGGGGTGAAAGAAAAGAGCATTACCACCACACCACCACTTCATTAATTACCGTTAGGTGAGTTTAATTAGATGGTAAAACTAGGCAATTATTAGGGGTGGTAAAACTAAGCAAAATGCCATTGCGTAAACTAAGCAAAAGCAAGTATCGCATGGGATGCTTGTAAGTTGTAACCAACAAAAAAAAGTATCGCATCATATGCTCTATTGGAAAATGAGAACAAAGCAAACAGAGTGGACGCCGTCGCGTTTACTGATAAATTAAAACCGAAGTATAATCTATCTCTGCAATCGGACCGACTGACAGTAGCGACCAATGGCGGAGGTCGATGCTCATACACAAGAAGAGTTCTTTGACGTCCTCACCAAAACCGGACAGAAGACCGGCATTTCCAAGCCCAGGCAAGCTTAAACCCAAACCTCCCCTTTCTCTTTTCCTTTTGATTACCCAGATTTCACGAACACACCATTATATCGAAGAATCAAGCAAGCAAGAAAGCGAGGAAATTTGTTTGATTGCGTTCACTCTTTTCTTGTAATTTCTCGAGAGACAAACAGAACACGTTGTGGAAAAGATATTGATTGAGGAAAGCCCTTCAATAAGTTAACTTTTTTTTGGAGTCAATTGAGTTGATGAATTGAAAAAAATTCAACCAATTGTTTGCCCTTCTTTAAATCTTCAGTTTATATGTATGCAGAAGTAGGGTAGCTGATTTTACTGATGGCAACATGCTCTGTTTCTGGTTTTTGAAGAATTTTGTTCTGATGACCAGTAACTCTGATTGAAAGTTTCATGGTTTTTATCACCCTCTATGTTGTGACATATATTCTTATCTATGAATACTATTGATGCCCATGTAGAGGAGATGTTCATCGAGACGGAGATTACCATCGAGCTGTACATGTGTGGATTTTTGCTGAGAGTACACAGGAACTTCTTATCCAACGACGAGCTGACTGCAAGGATTCATGGGCGGGGCTGTGGGATATCTCAAGTGCTGGACACATATCCGCTGGTGATTCGTCACTCATAACAGCTCGGTAGCTAGCTTCATTACACTTTCTTGTAACAGACACTTACCGCTTGTACTATATTTTCCTTTTACAATACGTGTGCAAATCATAACCAGTTTACTTATAAAGTCATTTGAGCAGCCACCCTGGTTTTTACTTGTTTAATCAAGCTCCTGTTAGCGTGATTCATCTGGATAGTGTACTGTTTTGTGCTAAGTGTGGCTGATTGTATTGTACTTTTTAGTTGCTATTTGTGTGACTTTTTTGACTTTCTTCTTGATAGAGTGATATTATGGGATTTCAAGTTCACAGAGTTTTCTAAACTTTCTAGGCTTTCTAAAATTTGATTGATAAAATGATAACAAAGTTCAAAGCTCATATGAACCTAAGAAGTTGAAGGCCTTAGCAGATAGGCACTTTTGTCTTCCTTTAGGAAAATACTAGTCCCTAATTCTCATGTTAGGGATTGCATGCCAAATTCCAAGAGTTAGGCCTATATGGAGATGGACCTTTTAGCATAATAAATTCTTTTTTTTTCTTTCTCTTTGATCATTTTAGGTGTGGTGGCATTAATATTGATGGCAGCCAATTTGCTTACTATCTTTATTTTCCCTTTTCTCAGCCAAGCTTTACAGTTTTAGTTCTTTGATCCAGTCCATTTCATATTATATATTTTCTTGTTGCCTCTATTAACTGCTACGAGGAAGCTGACATTGGTCACTATTGCTTTGTATAGAATAAAATTACTTTTTATAAATGTATCCCTTTTACATGCCTTGTACAACGTGATGCTAATTGAATTTCCATTTTTCAAAGTAGATATTGTTTTAGAAGATTGGTAATGAATTTATACAGAAGTGCCTATTACAGAATTTACTTATTTCTGAATTGAAGTATTTTATCTCCTTATTTCCTCAAGTTACTGCTCCACCTCCCCTTTTGTGCATGAGACAGTCATGCCAATTATCCTGCGTATTTTGTTGTTAAAATTTAGAGCTGTCTGAAGTGTGCTTGTTACTGAAACATAGTAATTTATATATCAGGAGGGAGCTTCAAGAAGAGCTAGGTGTAACACTTCCAAAGGACGCATTTGAAATGATATTTGTTTTTCTTCAAGAGTGGTTAGTAGGCTAATTCCTTTGTTCTATTGTTGGATATATATTTCTTTGTCTAGCAGCTTTTAGTATGGACTAATGTTTCGTGAATAAATTGTTATTAGTTGTTACTACATCTGGAATTTGATTTTCCCTTTTTATGTTAGTTTGGAGTGAGATATGCTTCTACATTGTTATTGTTAATAAGCACTAGTTCAGAATTTCATAGCTCTTTGAGATATAGGTGAGATGTTATTATACTTGTGAGGCTTTGTGAAGTTGTGGAGGTGTTAAGTGGTTAAAGGTATCTGAAAAAGGATTCCCGTATTGTTCCAGACAGCATCAGTTAATGGCTTGAAGTTCATGAGGACGGGTGTATAGTAGTAGAGGGGTTATGCATAAACATGCAAGCAGTAAATAATTGCTGAGACATCCTTAGGAAGAGTAGATGAGCAAGGAGGAGAAGACAAGCACAAGAGATTTTCATGCACTCAAAAGTTTCCAAAGAAGCTTCATAGCTTCAACCACAATTATGCTTAGTTTGGACCTGTACAGCACCCTAATTATGCTTGCCCAGTATGCTCTTCGCTTGACATTCAATCTTAAGAGAACAATCCTGGTTTTTTCTTTGATGTTAAACTGCTACAATCTGCATGAACAGTAAGGTAGATTTAACACTATCTAGCATGAGGTTGATACAGGGGTGGCCTTGCCCATCTGGACATCATGGCTGGCATTGACAGTCTGGTCAAACAAGCTTGAACAGGTATTTACCCTCCAAATTTGTATCAACTAGGGAAGAACATAATTGTGCCAGCTCTACAATATTCTGCCTGTGTTTAGGAGAAAAGGTTGAGCAAGATTAAGGAGAGAAAGAATAGATACCAGGTAGATCCATTATGGATGCCATCTAATTATTGAGACCATCAATCGGCGGAAGTTTTTTGGAGTGAATTGAAAGACTTACATTAGCTTTAGTACAGGAGCAGAGGGCTACAAATTATTTCTGATATTTGGGATCTATAATGCGAAATCATAGGAAAATGGATGATGATTCAATAAATAGAGTTAGAAAAGTGCGGACAAAGTGGAGGCAAACTAGTGGTCTGTTATGTGATTAAAGCATACCAAATAGGTTAAAAAGGAAGTTCTACAGAACTGTCCAGAGGCCAACTGTTTTGTACGGGGCATAATGTTGAATGGTAAAGCAAAAGCAAGTGCAATGCATCCATGTAGAAAAATGAAAATTTGAAGATGGAAGATGGGTGTGACTAGAAAAGGCAGAATTGAAACCAATCTATTTACAACAAACTTAGGAGTGAAAGTGATAAGATACGTGAAATTAGGCTTAGGTAGGCATAATCAACGTAGACCACTAGATGGATCTATAACTAAAGAAAGACATGCTAAAGTACAAGATAAAAGATTAAAGAAGCCAACCAAAATTAACAAGGGAAGAAGTGAGACAAAAGGATATAAGATTTCAGATTTAGTAGAAGACATTGTATATTAATATGAAAGAATGAAAGATGAGAATTCAATGTTCTATTCCAAACAATTAGGACAAAGGCGGGTTATTCTTCAGTCACCTTCGAACATTCTTTGTGAAAAATAGATGTCTTTTGGTGGTGGAAGGCAGGCAAGAGTTTTGTGGAATTGCGCTGTGCTTGCTGACTTTTGGGTAATTTAGTTAGAGAGAAATAGAAGAATCTTGTTGAACTATAGTGGGGATGTAGAAGAGAATGCTTGGGAAAGAATCAGGTTTTGGGCATCTTTATGGGCTTCTCTTTCTCCAGCTTTTAAGGATAACTCATTTTGTGTAATTTTATTACATTGGGGAGCTGCTGCTGGATAGTCTTTTTGAGTTGAAATACAATGTAGAAGGTGTATTTTGGATTTGATTGTTAGGGTTGTATCATTTTGATGGTAAACTCCTGGTTCACTAAGTTTTGTATTGTAATGTTTCTCTATATTAATTTTTTTTTTCATAGAAAAGCAGGTATCGGTGTTCCGAAACGACCAATTCGTTGAGGGCTTAGTTGTGGTTGTCTAGGGAGCGGGGCTTGTCTGGGTTTAAAGCTTAGGGTTGTTCTAGGTTTTCTCTTTGGTTTGTGGGAGCTGGGTTGTTTTTATTCTTTAGTCTTGTTCTCTATCTGCTGTGGATTCCTTATCCACTTTTGTATTAATACAATTGTTTCTATTAAAAAATAAATAAATAAAATACAATTACGACAAAGGGCAAGGATGACAATGATGACGGTGGTGATGTTTGTATTTTGTTTATATTCAAGATCTTCTGTGTATTAACTGATGTTGGGTTAAATTTTGAATGCAGTGTAACAAATGATGGAAAATTCATCAATAATGAATTCAATGATGTATATTTGGTTACAACTGTAGATCCAATCCCTCTTGAGGCATTTACTCTTCAGGTGAGGAGGGTGATGTAAGTCAAATAGAAGTTCCAATGATTCATGTTTTATCTTTTTGCTATTTTATGATACTTTGACTTTTCTGGGAAGATCTATTAATTACATTCTCTTTAAGTCAGGAAATATGGCCATCAGAATTATTAATCACTCATAGAAACAGTTCAAAGACTAGGGGTGAAAACTAATAGAACAGGAAGATATGCTGGCTTATATAAAAAAATGCAACTGCGATATTGCAAATGCAACCATGTGGCTGAATTATACTCATTTAAATATTGTTTGCTATGCAGCCTATGTTGCCATGTAAATTTTCTTGAGTATCTGAACATCTCTTCTCTCTAATGGCAGGAAACAGAAGTCTCTGCTGTTAAATATATTTCTTACGAGGAGTATAGAAGCTTACTTGCTAAAGAAGATCTTGAGTACGTCCCCTATGATGTAAATGGGGAATACGGTCAGCTTTTTGACATAATTGCAAGGAGGTATGCTATTGAAAAGCATTTTAAGTTTTTTTATTTTTTATTTTATTTTATCAGTGAGATGGAATGATCCATTCCAGACTAGCCTATATGAAGATTCTTTCTCGTAAGACTTAAGCTGGTCAAGAAACAATTTATTCCCGAGTCCTGATACCCATGTAAGGCTGGATTTAGTTGCATCTCCAAGAAATTTTTATTTTTATTTTAAAACTTATTCTTTTTTTTTTTTAAGAAACAATATCTGTTTTTTTTTTTTTTTTGTGTGTAGACAAAATGATTTTGAAATTTAAATTTAAATTTCTTTCTTTTTATTGTTCATCGCTAGCTTCATGGAAATAATGAATGTTCTTGTGCCTCCACGGCAATAAAATTTTATTCTTTGATTTACTCGGCCTGAAAAACATTAATTCCGTATCAAGAAGACTGAAAGACATACAATACTATATCACCATCTGTTTCAAATTTCCCCGAATATTCACTACTTTCTTATGTCAGCTATTTCATCTTAATTTCCTAAAGGTACAAGGAGAACACTATAGCTCGAAGTTTATCTCTACAAAAGCAACTCCAACGTTATGCTCCTGTTTCCCTCAGTGCCGAGGTTATTGTCCTTAGTCATTTCTTAGATCTATTATTCCTTTAGTAAATTATGTATTTAGTTTATTCTTTTTTCTTTAAATTTTATTGGATGTAGACAATATTCAGTCATGGTGCAATGATTAAAAGTTTTAGCTGGAAGTTGGAAAGGTAGAATGGTTATAAGTTTTTGCTGCACCCTGAGTTGCCAAGAAGCTTTATCTTTAGTTTTGACAAAGTGGAATCAATTTGTTTATGTCAAAATCTGCATTGAGATGTTTTGGTTGGCACCATGATTCAGTGATAAGGAATGTGAATTCTGTAGGTATTATTTGGTATGCATCTGGAAGAAGAGGAATGCAAGGGCTTTCAAAGGCATTGAGCTCTTTGCAAGCCTTGTGGTTGTTGTGTTTATTCATCCAACATTCTGGGAATACAATTTAGTTAGTGCCTTTTTGGCTAGTATTTCATAGCCTGAGTACTACTCTTTCCACCAGTTCTGTAACTTGTAAACATATGACATGAAACCGTTGAAACAATTTAAAAGTTGGTTGAAAGTACAACAAGCTTTCTTACCTAAAAGGTGAACCATAATGTTACAGATTTTCAAGAAGATGGTGTAACTTTTGTTGCCTAATTTAAATTTTAACTTCGTATTTGGAATATAGCTTATTAAATACTTTGATGTTGAAATTCTTCCTCCCCTCTCCCATGTCTTGTGCATCAGCAATCTTCTTCTTCTTTTTCTTCTTCTTGTAGATGGTTGTGTCCTTCCTTTTTCTTTTCCCCAAAATGTAGTTGGTTGGGTCCTCCAAGTGAAGTTGAGCATATTTTGTTTCCTTGATGCAGTTAACAGGGCTTACAGATGCAGACAGAGAGGCTCTGCTGTTACTAATTAAGGCTGCAGCAATTATGGACGAAATCTTTTACCTGTTACTAATTAAGGCTGCAGCAATTATGGATGAAATCTTTTGCCTGCAGGTTGAATAGATTTGTAATGAAACACTTGCATTGTTAGATAATTAAACAGACACTCCAACCTGTGTATTTGTGCTGTTATGTTATTCTGATACATAAAGACTGTTAGTATGCATGAAAATAATGATATGTGCTGCTGCATGGTAGATTCGAGTATCACCAATAGTGTGCATCTGCATACACATATTGTGGAATATATTTTGCACTATAATTCTTTCTTTGTATGCAAGTAAAAATGCACTAAATGAGCCAAGGGGGAGCTATGCAAATATCTTGTAATTTTCCTTGTGTTACACCTAGTTTGTCAGGCACATATAATTATTATAATTCTTAATCTATGTTGTAGTGCCCATTTCTAATTTTTTTTTCTTTCCCATTCTATGTTTCTGATTTTACATTTAGGTTTGGTACAGTAATCCAGTTCTTCAAGATTGGTTAAAGGAGCATGCTGATACATCACAGTTAGACAAATTGAAATGGATGTATTACGTAATTAATAAGAGTCCATGGTATGTCTTCTTCAACTTAGTTTTCTTTCAGGTGTATACTATGCACATGCGATTTTTACCTACAAATGTACCGTGTGCCATGTGTATGTGCGCGCGTGTGTGTGTGTGTGTGTGTGTGTGTGTGTG